CTTGGACAGTACTTANCCCCCCCCCACCTCTCGCCTCTCAGCGTATATCTACAGTATATCTGTTCTGAATATATACACATTTATTTGTTTGATAGACAGGTTATGTAACACACGCACGGAAGAGTATACAAGAAGCTGAAGGAAGATTGGAGTATAATAGTAGAATGGGTTCTAAAGAAACAGGATGGGAGGGTGTGGACTGAATTCATGTGGCTCGTGTCAGGGACAAGTGGCGAACAGAATCTTGAGTTTCCGTATAATGGTGGTAATTTCGTGAGTTTCTGAATGTCTTCTCAAGAAGACCTAAATTTCATGCAGTTAGTTAGGGCTTATTTAACGACGCCGTCAGAAGCTCAGATTATATAGTGTCGAATATTACGATTATTTGTGAATGATGAATTTGGAAGGAAACCATCATGGCCTAATTTGATATTCTACTCCGACGTTTGCCTGGAGGGGCTGAATAAAACACAGAGAACCTTAGCTGGGGTGGTCAGTGCTGGTTGAGATTTGAACTGAAAACTTTTAGGATGCAATTAAAACGCTTTGTAGCTTTGTTCAACTTGCTCAGAAGGATAATACAGTGCGCCCACAAAGTCCCGTCGGGGTTTTGAAAAATTGTGGCGCCCAAACAAATTGCGGTTTGCGGCAGATCATAGTGAAACTCCGGAAGTTTTTCACTGACCTCAGTAGACCTCGATGTGGGCTCCCTTGGTAGCACAGAGAACGTCCAGACGATATTCGAGCTCTTGCCATGTTCTGTGGAGCATGTCCGCTGGAACAGCCGAGATCACGTTCCTGATACAGGTCTTCAGGTCATCAAGCCCGCTAACTGGTGTTCGGAACACACTGCTCTTGACACTGACAATATCCTCTGGACGTTCTCCGTGCTACCAAGGGAGCCTAGGGCCCCACCATAGCTCAAACGGTTAGTCGCTGGCTTCCCACCGCGGCGGCCTGGGTTCGATCCCGGGTCTGGTCAAGTGGGATTTCTGGTGGACAAAGTGGCACTGGGGCGGATTTTCTTCGAGTACTTCGGTTTCCCCTGTCAATATTCATTCCACCAATTGCTCCACAATCACCCTCACCTATCAACTGGGGCTGGTACAATAGGCCAGAAGTGGCCGCAGTACAAGGGCTTAGTCCCACCCCACTAACATTTAAAAAAAAAAAAAAGGAGCCTACATCGAGGTCTACTGAGGTCAGTGAAAAACTTGCAGAGTTTCACTATGATCTGCCGCAAACCGCATGTGGCTAGCTCAATTTGTTTGCGGGTCATAATTTTTCAAAACCCCGACGGGACTTTGTGGACACACTGTATTAGAGTTGAAATACGGTCTGAATGCTCAAGGATAGAGAGGGGCCAGTGGGGGAGGGCTCTTGTAAACACTATCTGAATCTTCCGAGTTTTATAAAAGGACCAGCTGAGAGACTGTTAGTTTCCCAACAGCAGCTGTGCTCAGTGGAATTATATTTTCATCAATTAGTAGAATACTCGAAGACCTGGGACAGATCAGTCGGTATAGTGACGGGCTTGACGGCCGGGGTTCGATTCGCTACTCTACAGCGTCCAGAATGGTTCTGGGGCCCACCCAGCCTCATATACAATGGGTAACGGGGGGGGGGGGTTTTTTCCCGTAGAAAAAAAGCTGTGGGCGCGAGAGGCTGACTACGCACTTCCATCTAGTGCCGAGATCAAGAATGTTGGAGCTATAATTCCACTCCCAGTATGCCTTCATAGCGTGATACTTAATTAAGTGCAGGGACAGCTTCGCCTCTTTTTTAACATAGTGGATTGTTGAAGCTTAAAAAGCCTGTTCCATTAGTTCTTCCTGGAATGAGGTCTGTTTCTTTAGCGAGTGGAATTATATATATTGCGCTGCTAATTTTCAGTAGTACTGTATACCGGGATATTACGCCGTGTAGTACGGTAGAATTTCACGTACGATTCAGAGAAATATTCCGGCTTCATCTTTAGAATTTAAGTCAAGGAAATTTCCAGCAGCACGCAGGCAATGGAGTCAGCATATCTGCTCACAAACGCCGGCGAACTTATACTGGACTACACGGCGTTACCACCCAGTAGCCACCCAGTACCATAGCCACAGTTGTGAGGCTATCAGGCCAAACACAGAGTTCACTTCGGCCAAATATTTCGGGTAGATGACTGGAGGGAAATTGTAACAGATTGAGGAAGTCATGGAAGCATCGATCGGGCGGGTATATATCAGAGAGGATGTTACATAAGGACTAAAATTAGTGGTCATGAGTCTCAATGGCCTTGTCGCCAGGACGAACTGATTGGCGGTAAATCGCCAGTCGTAAAGTTATTGTGATTCTGACTCTAACTCAGTGTAAAGTGTTAAGGTGACGATGGTGATAATGATAATAAGAGCATGGCGATGGTGATGATACGATGCCATTTGCGCGGCAAGTTGATGCCGCAACCACCGACCCCTGTTCTGTTACATATGTCTGTGTATGTATAAAAGCTATTTCGATTCAGATAACGTGCGCCTTGCATGGTACATGTCACTCCACCTGACAGCCATCACCCTGACTTACATGCTGCCAGCTTCTCTCCTCTAGCAGGACACTCCATTAGTCATGGAGCATGCGCCATGTGAAGATTCGAGAATGGGCCTTCTGTTTCAAACTGGAGAGCTCAGACTCGCATTAATTTCCGCGTATAGTAAGATGGCCCCAGAGTACGGATCGGTTAATTGTAAGTAGGCGTGAGCGGTATGAGGTCCTACATTAATTTATATGTACTGCCTCATGGCCGTGGCGAACTATAGTCCGGTAGAAGGTTACCGACGTTTCGGCGGAACATATTGCCTCCATCTTCAAGGTCGAAAATACGCTAAACAGTAAACAGATGAAAAGAAAACAGCAAGCAGAGCACTGCGCTATGACAACAGAGACAAATCCAGACTTTTATGTATAAGTAAAATGGCCATTTATATTTCAACAAGACCTATTAAGAAGCAAATTAAATGTAAATGTATCAATTTTTTAACAGAGCACCCTGCTATGAGAAAATGATGAGGGAGTGAAGGTATCTTAACTTCGGCACTAGATTGAGGTGCGTGGTCAGTGTCACGTCCTGGCATCGAAACCCGATTCCTCTGTTATTCACACCGTGGCGTAGTTGCCACAGACACCAAATGACTTATCCCCGCTTCAAGCGACAAGCCCCTTGAGCATCACGAGACAGTAATTTTGTTAATCATTATGTAATATCCTCTCTGACAAGAGAACGGGTCTGTAGTTTACAATTGCTGCTGGTCCTCGCCAGCATAATCATTCTCGGGTCAGAGTCCCACGGGAAGCATGACCATATTTTACTGTTTCAGATTCTAGACTGGCCTAACCTGGAGGGCCAGGCCCCCATATTTATAGACCCCAGGAACAGGGTGGCCCGGATATAAACCCAGGAAATGGGTTATTGAAAATTCCTAGGAATATATCTACATTTATACCAAGATATTATACATAATAGAAAAAAGTGTACACTTAGGGGTGCTGCTATCTAAAGGATTTATTCAGCAAAGGTCAATGCCATAACACTCATTCAGGAATACCTACCATTCTTTGAATTACTTGACACTATTCAAAACTATTTTCTACTTCAGGATTTGCCAAAGCAGGTGTGGATCACACCTGGTGTTGGTGCAGGTTCCAATGGTGCTGATGGTGCTGGTTGTGTTGGTGGTCATGGTGGTTTGCACTGGTGGTGATCTTGGTGGCTGTAGGCACGTTGTTTTTGGTGGTTATGGGACACTGATATTTACAGTGGAATTTTCGAACATATATTATGCTAGGTGAAGTGTACCGACCTTGTCACTTGTAGAATAAATTACCCTTTTAAGAGCAATATATATTATCTCTTTCTTATCAACAATGTTGGAACTATACAGTGAAACAACTGTATCTCAGAAACAGTTCTGAAAAGGACACATGTACATTTACACTTAGAAGTACCATTACTATGAGCCCCCAGCAAATTGACCTTTCCTCCAGGGACATATCTGTGTAATGCAGTACATGGTGGCAGTTTTCCTTTCACACATTCATACTCATTTCAGGTGCCTCTTATCTAAAAATACCTGAAATTACAGTTCTTTTGTGAAATAAGAAAGTACAGTAAACCCTCACTATTCCTGTTAAAATTAATCCGGATATAGAGTAATCCAGATCAATATATGAAAAATGTCATATATAATTGAGTATATACTTTAAAGACACATGGCATGTAGGAAGGCAGACGTACGCGCGCACAAACTCTCTCCCCCTCCCTTCCTCTCCCCCCCATTTTGAGATACTATATATTTTGATCTCACAGATACTGGAATTGCAAAGCAGCAGTGAAAAATGGCAAAATCAGCCAGACAGAACTTCACTGAACTTAACAAAGTAGCAATGTAAGCAAGTCTCAGATGAAGAGTGATTTATATGTGTGTGAGAGAGATGGGGAGAAAATACTAGAGGGTGTGCTGATGTGTACAGTACAGACAGTGTAAATTAAGATTTTCTGCATTCAGCAAACATTTCTTCTAATTTGCTTCCATGTGAATAAGCAAACCTTCTTATGTGTGTCTTCTGAGTTTGGAAAGAGTAAACGTGTAAGGTGACAGTTACAAAAATACTTCATGATGAATATGTCAGCATCTTGAAAATAATAATAATAATAAAAAAAGCATTGTCAAGGATATGATTATGGGTATGGTACATAATCCCTTCCATGGTGTAAACAATATACACTGAACTTTTCTGCCTTGATTGGATCCATCACAACAAATTTATCAACTCTTGACAGGTCACATATCAGCATGCAGTTTTAAAATAATTAAAAAAGAAAAAGAGCTTACATTTATATAACATATCATGCCATAGAAATGATTAATAATTGGGATAAAAAGAAGTCCTTTTAAGAAAATATTCATCATGGAATGGATTAACGCTATTTGTCGGTTTCAAAAAATAATATTTTTGACCAGTAACAACGATGCACAGCATGTGGTTTTATATTTATATGAACCCGGTTTCTATGCACTTTAGTATACATACTACTGACAAGAAATTTGAGAATAATTCCTAATGCAAATACAGTCTTATTCTTGCAGCCACACCCCACATTATATCTCTGTTTCACTAGTCATCTGCCACAAGCACTATTTCTCCCACACGTCACCATATTGATTCTTTTCTCGATTCCAAGCTGGCGGAGGACTTGGAGGCACATCTGGGTGAGGTCCTCTTGGTCGGATTACAGCAGGAACATCTTCAGAACTTGTGACACCTCTGTAACAATGCCACATCACATTTTTAGGGTATACAATTTTGTTTTTATGCTTGAATTTATGTCACTGCATTTTTAGGGAGATGAGATAGCTGAGTCGGTACAGCAGCAGGCTATGGGCTGGATGGCCCTGGCAAGGGAAGAGATTTTTCTCTCTTCCACAGCGTCCACACCGCTTCTGAGGCCCATCCAGCCTTCTATCCGATGTGTACCAGGGGTTCTTTCACTCTGGGTAAAGCAAGTGGGGGGTGAAGCTGACCACTCACCTCCACCTAGTGCTGAAGTCAAGACTGGTGGAGCCATACCTCCACTCTCCAATATGTCTTCATGGCATGGTGCTTAATGAATTAAGCATAGGGACAGCTTTACCATTTTTACCATTGTATTTTTATCATATAACAGTTCTAATAAAAATCTAAATATAACACCATTATCAATGGCATATGTACAATATTTTAAAACACAGAGAGGCTGTCCAGCCTAGAAAACCAAGATTAACAGCTGTTGGGATCTGTTGTGGTGACCATGTGACACCCTCTATCTGCAAAAGTTAGCAATAACTTTGTAGACAAATGGCGGTCACTCAGTCGGTATAGTTCACTTGCCGACTAAAGCCACAGAGTTTGTTTTCTTAGAGGGGCTATAAAGCTATTTAGGTTCCTGCTGTCACCCTACACCCTGATACGGACCTGCAACAGTGTGTAGAACTGCACTTTTCATGACTGTACAGGAATATTTTATAGCTTACTGTAGGTGTAGAGAGGCTGTAAAGGTATTTGGGTTCCTGCTATCACTGTACAGCCTGATAGGGACCTGCAACTGTGCACAGAACTCCACTTTTCATAACTGTACAGAAACATTTTATAGCTTACTGTAGGTGTAGTGAGGCTAAAAACCTATTTAAGTTCCTGCTGTCACAGTACAAACTGACTGACAAAGAGATGTTGGGTTGCAATATTTTATGTATTAGTTTAGGTTGTCATGGTATCACAAAGTGTGAAAACTGCTGCTTTAAGGCATTCATTTGGTTTCATGTGCATTGTGTAGAATGGTCATGGTTTTAGACAGTGATACTATACCTGAACTGCTTGGTTTTCTTCTGCTCATACTCTTCTCTGTTCTTCCTACGCAGCTCCTCATATGTTGCTGACCATGGCTGAGTTCCTGCTGGCAGGCCTTCTTCCTCAGACAAAGGAGCTGTAAGATATAACAACCTTCAATATTATAATCTTCTAGGATTTGATGCCATGTAGTCTGGCAGACAGCTATGAATACTGAAGATGGAGGCAGTTGGTTCCCCCAAAACAGTGGTACCTATGTAACAGACTACCCAGTGTCAGATTCCAGAAGACTATAATCTTAATATTCAATTGTATGGGAACCTGAAACAATGTTAAGCAGGTCCCTTGTCACCACGGCATGGCACATCCTCAAGTTGTGGATGGAGGAGATGGCCTCTACATAAGGAGGGTAACTGCAAATATATTGAATAAGCAGTCACAGACAGGCAACAAAGAATGGTCCTTCAGTCTAGGAGTTTGGCATGGAGCTAACAGCTTGTTACAAGATATTACACGGGGCACTTAACTTTGATAGATTCTTAGAAACAACCTAAGAAAAAAATGGACATGAGATTTGGCACAAGGAATACAGAAATTGGATAGGGGGTATGGACTTGATTCATCTGGCTTAGTACAGAGACCAGTGGAAGGCTTTTGTGAATGTGGTAATGAACTTTTGGGTTCCATAAGATGCTGGAAATTTCTTGAGTGGTTAAGCAACTGCTGGCTTCTCACAAAGGACTTGACTACATGGAGTTAGTAAGAAACTAAAATCTAGGTTCACATTCCTCAGACTAAGTTTGTGGCGAGGGAATCTCGCACTTGTTACTGTTAATAATAAATGCTCTTCATTATGTAATTCTCCTGGTGTTCACACCATGTGCATGTGGACACCGTTGCTAAAATTTCACAAGTACATGCTGCCTTCATCTTCAGGGCTGAAGACAGAAGTAGTACGTACCTCTGAAATGTAGCCAACACTGCCCACATGGACATGCTGTAAACACCTAAGATCTGAATTAATATTAACATTTAACCAACATAAAAACCTAAAATCAGTAATGTGCATAATGCATCAACTATGGGGAAAAGGGCAGGCCACTATCAGTTAGTAGACTGTTACGTCATGACTCGAAAGTGACCAGATTCTACATAGGGCAGTCAAAAAGTTCCCAGAATTCCCCTGCAGATGGAGAACGAGCGATATGATAGTGCACACACTGTTGTGGTGGGGAGCTCAGCATGTCTGCTCGGAGGCACAACAGGTCTGGACAGGTTTCAGTGTGCAATGTCATTACTGTTCCGTTTGAATTAGACATGAGTGTTGGTCATTCGGCACAATATCGCAGTTTGAACAGCGTGTGAACATCAAGTGCACGTGCACACTGGGAAAATCTGCTTCAGAGACACAATCAGCCCTGCAGCAAGTTTACAATGATACTGCACTAAAGAAATTTGCAGTTTTCGACAGGTTTTCCCAGTTTAAGAATGGGCAGGAAACGTTAGAGGATGACCAGCACAGCGGGGGACCTTCGACATCCAGAACCGAAGAAATGATTGGAAAAGTGCGACAACTGATTCGATGTGATCGAAGAATGACCATCGCGGAGTTGGAGTGGTATCTTTCACAGATCCATTCATGTCATTTTGTCTGATAATCTGAAGATGAGATGTTTGTTCTGAGGAAGATGACCACGGATCAGATGGAATGTTGCATGATGGTCGCTGGCGATCTGTTTGAAAAAAGTATGCAGGACCCGACGTTTCTCAAAAACATCGTCACTGGTGATGAGTCATTGGTGTTCGCCTACAACCTGGAGACAAAGATGCAGTCATCAAAGTGGCACACAGTGTCGTCTCCCCGGCCAAAGAAGTCACGCCTCATCAGATCCAAAGACAAAGTGATGCTCATTGCATTCTTTGACATCGACAGTTTGGTGCACCATGAGTTTGTACTGCCTGGACAGACTGTTATTGGCCATTTCTACGTGCAAGTTTTGCAGAGGTTGCACGATGCGGTTCAGAGGAAGCGGCGCGACAAGTGGCAGGGACAGTGGTTTCTGAATCACGATAATGCACCGAGCCACACATCACTTGTTGTGCAGCAATTCCTCGCCGAGAAAAACATTCCTGTCATCACTCAACCACCGTACTCTCCAGATCTCGCTCTGAATGACTTTTGGCTGTTCCCTACTCTGAAAATGGGGATCAAGGGGCCACGTTTCGCAACCATGGAGGACATCAAATTGAATGTGATGGCTGAGCTCCAGAAGATTCCAAAAGAAGCCTTCCACCACCGCTTCCAACAATGGCAGTATCGATGGAGCAAGTGTGTGTGCACACAAGGGTCCTACTCCTACCATTAGAGTGCTATACCACCATTCCGGGAACTTTCTAACTGCCCCTCGTATGCCTGTTTTCAACATACTTTCAATATTCATATACCAGTGGGAAATACAATCATAATTGCACAGGACTTTTTTTCTATAAGGTTACCCACACAAAGAATGATGTAACATGGTTTGTACAATGGACTGACATCACTGCCCTTCATTCCATGGTTCTTCGTTCTCTCAAACTTATATGAACTGAGGGTATTATACAAACAACGAAATAAGCACATATGAGAAAGATTAATAGGTACATTAAGGCAGTGGTAACACACTATACTTATATTCAGGATGTGCTTGGTTTGAATCTCAGCCAGGACATGCTCTATGCTGAGGTTTCCATGGTTTCCTCAGTCCCTCAAGGAAAATGCTGGGACAGTACCTCAATTAAGATGTGACCACTTTCTTTCAAATTCCTGCCAATTCATTATTCACAAGCACTCAACAGTCTGAGACCACCTCTGTGGTCTAGTGGTTCAATTCCCGGCGCTACCAGATTTTCTGAGAAGTAGTGGATCTGGAACAGGATCCACTCAGCCTCACGATGTTAATTGAGGAGCTATTTCAAGGAAATAGCAGCTCCAGTCTAGAAAAAACCGAAATTAACAGCCATGTGGATTTGTTGTGCTGACCACACAACACCCTCTATCTGCTAAAGTTGGCACTAACTTTGCTGACAAGTGGCGGTCGCTCAGTCAGTATAGTTTGCTTGCGGACTCAAGCCACAGAGTTTAGTTTTTTAATTCAACAGTCTGAGATACTTACATCGTTGTAAAATAGAGAAAAACACTTACAGATAGAAAGTGACAGACAAACACACACACAAAAGTTCAGTACTTCCAAACTAAATAAGCATGAAGGAGTTATAAGACAACTGGACTGATTATAATCAAGGAATGAATGATTAAGGGTTTAAAAGTTGATCTTGCAGCTGGATTTTGAATTAGGGAATTTAAATGGTAAGGGTGTTATTACTGAAGAAATGTATACTTCTCCAGAACCCGAACTGCTAAAATACTGTAACGTAAAAGGTAAAGCTATCCCTGTAACAGGCTGTGGAGGTCCATAGGGTTCAGGGACATCAAGGCTCCCACACATTCTAGACAATAGACTACAGATGGCAGTAAGGTTGTCAGCCTTACACACTGGCCACCTTCACATCCGGGAAGATTCCTGGTACTCATTTCTGTTAGAGACTACTGACCCAAGGGACATAGTGCAGCTGAAATTCAGTGACCTCATTGGGATAAAAATTATTTCAAACATTATAAATTGCTGAAGTCTGCAGAGTTAATTTCATACTATCATAAAAATCACTGTTTTCAAGGATGTTTATAGATTTGTGAAATGAAACAAAATATTTTGCATATAAATCCAAATATAGTAAATTTCCCTTGTTATCTGGTGTGTATAGGGAACTAAGTGTGACTGTTACAGGAGTCTGCCAGTTGCATGAGACAAACTGTTACAGAAACCCAATACAAAGTCAACAAACAGCATGTTTTCACTTTGGTTCACACATGGGAGTCTACCCATGTGACAGATTGTACTGATGGATGAAAGAATTCTGATTAATATACTGTAATATGATCACAAATTCAACTAGCCTCTACTGTAATGTCACCCATATGAGGAAGGATGATTGCCAGCACTGCTAGTGGTGACTGGGAGAACTACTGCCTTGCAGGTAAACATGAACATAGTAAAGTGTTTTTTTTTTACGAAGTGATATATTTTCTTTTAAATGTTTGCTGGTTGGATAAGAATTCTGGTTGCTCAGATACCAGATAACCAGCAGTTTACTGCACATAGCACTTATATTTGTGACAACATGTCTCTGGTAGAAATTCTCACACTGATATTCTACCTATCTTGTGCATTACTAGCACGACTAACATGTTTGTTACAGCATATACCAACCCAGTAAACACTACTGAATCTTTTAATAAATATTTTTTATCTCTAGCAAATACAATTATTACTAATGTATCAAGTAATTTTAATAATTGTAATCCCACTGATAATGTAAAAACTTTCAATGATTATTTATCTGCTACCCTTAATGTAACTTTCTGTATCATCAGATATAGCCCGGTCTCTACTAGTGAAATTTTAAATGTTATTGATAAATTGAAAATGACAAATTCTTATAGTTATGATGAAATTCCTGTAAAAATTCTGAAAAACAGTATTCACTACATTGTTTCACCATTAACCTATATAATAAATAGGTCACTAACCACTGGCATATTTCCAGATCGCCTAAAATTTGCCAAAATGAAACCCATATACAAAAAGGGTTACAAGAACATCATTAGTAACTATAGACCTATATCCCTCTTGACTTCCTTCTCAAAGATATTTGAGGTGATACATAATAGACTTTATAAACATCTGGCCATTAATAATATACTGGTCAAGAAGCAATTTGGATTTAGGACTAATGTTTCTACTACTAATGCCACTTGTTTGATCAGATATTGATGGCTTTGAATGGGGGATATAATGTGGGAGGAATATTCTGCGATCTCGAAAAAGCCTTTGACTATGTAAACCATAAGATTTTGTTATCCAAACTGGAACTTTATGGTATCTCAGGATTAGTGCTCAAACTAACAGCATCATACCTACAAGGAAGATTTCAAAGAATAAGGCTGTAATCTAAATATTACAATCTGAATACTTGCTCTGATTGGGGTAATATCTCTCATGGAGTTCCCCAAGGTTCCATCTCGGGCCCTTTACTTTTTCTGATCTATATTAATGATCTCCCTTTGGTTTTAAACAGGATCTCTACCCCTATCCTTTTTGTAACAAGTTAAATAAAGTCTTCAAAACTTTAAATATATGGTTCAATATCAATTTATTATCCTTGAATTTCTCTAAAACAGAGTATATTATATTTGCAGCAAAAATGTTTTATGAACAAAACAGCTGTATAACAATTGCACATGGTAATAAGGAGATATCTGATTCATGTTACACAAAGTTCCTAGGTATCAGTACTACCAACACATTGTTCTGAAAGAAACATATTGATCAACTTTTACCGAGACTTAGCATGGCTTGTTATGTAATTAGAACTGTCAAGCCTTACATTAATTTGGAAACTTTGTTGATGGTCTACTATGCTTATTTTCATTCCATCATGCATTAGGTCATCATATTTTGGGGAAATTCCTCATATGCTATTAACATGTTCCACATGCAGAAGAGGGCACTCAGAATAATGATGGGTATCGGTAGTAGAGATTCATAACTTTGGGTATTCTCCCTCTTCAGTCCAACTGTATCTATTCTTTACTGTCTTTTGTGGTTAACAACATGGATTCAAATAAATTTGTATCTGATATACACAACTGAAATACAAGACAGGGTTATAATTTTAATCTTTATCAACCTCAGCCCATCGGTCACTATATCTCAATGGAGCTTATTATATGGGTATCAGGGTGTTTAATAATCTTCCTGTTTTCATAAAGCAATTATATAACAATCTTAGAGATTTTAAACTGTCTTTGAAAACATTCTTATGCAATCATTCATTTTATACTTAAGATGAATATTTTGATTTTAGATGTGGCAAGAATAATGATGCTAGTCACTTGTAATGACTGGCTGCCAAATGTTGCTGTTATGTTGTGTAATGTTTTGATTATGTATGTTTTTTATTGCTCCTCCTGTATGACTGTTTCCACATCCTCAATTGTTTCGATCTATGGAATGAAATAAAGAACTATGAACTATGAACTATGTTCCTTCCTACACTGTGTGCAACTCTGATGTTTATATTTGTATGGTAAATACAAAGACATGGATTTGGGCTGAGTCATACTACATAATTCAAATGCGTACATATGATTTTTTAGTTTTCTCCAGGCTAAGCTAAGGTACACCATATGAGGCCAATCATGCAGCAGGACAATCACCAGTATGTCATGCATCAAGGTAGGAAATATGACTGGCTTGTGAATGGGTTGGACTGAAGATGAGTTCCTTTGCACATACCAGGGAATTACATTTTCTGAGTAATAATGTGGATCTTCTCCTCTTGTTCACGGTATACAAAGATTAGGCAGATCAGTGGTGGTCCATATCCACTGCCATTCCCTCTCAACTACACACTTCAGAACACTTTCACATCTGTCACTTTCTGACTGCAAATTAACCTAGCAGATCATTCTCTGATACTTCTGAATGGTGGTGTATATCCCATGACATAACACCCATCCAGCCAGCTTATAAAAAAAAAACATATTTCACGCTAGCTTAATAAAGCATTAGTTGCATTGTGTGTCTGAAATTGTTCATGAGTGAAGTTCTACCCTCACCCCACTTCCCCATCTATAGACAGGCAGGCATTTATTTATTTTGAAGAATTCATCTTCTGGGATATAATGCCCTGTGTGTAGTCCTTGGAAGTTATATCCCAGATGATAGTACTCTTCATAACTAGGCTGTGAGAACCTCAAATCCTACTGTTTATTTATTTTGATCTTCATCTGACTCATTCACAAGGGACGCTATGCTACAAGCTGGAAGCTATCAGTTTCAATTCCAAATGAGATCAATGGATTTTTACAATTAACCTAATCCTTCCAGCTGCACTATGGCTCTAGGGTCAACTCAGCCTCTAACAGAAATGAGTACCAGGAATCTTCCTGGTGGTAAAGGGTGACAACCTCACTGCCATCTTTGAGCTGACTGTCTAGAACATCTCACAACCCTATGGGCCTCCACTGCCTGTTGCAGGGAGCAGGATTTTATTAACGCTCCTAAAGAAGTGAACATATATAAGTTAGGCACCAGAAGAGTTCAAGAAACATAATCTTCCTTTGTCTTACACATTCTCAACATATTTTCTCTCAGAATGGGACAAGTTTCAACCTACAAAATAACAGCTTTTATTATATATGGAAATTGAGATTCCCATAGCAGTGAATATTACGATTAGTCTTCTTGGGCATGATGCCATGTAATTCTGTAGAGAGGTACCAACATCTTGGAGCGATCTATGGGCAATGCCAGGATTATTTCAGGGCAGGAAGCCAGAAATGTCACTTACAAAGTCCAGCATATGACTGTTTTTACTGATCACCATATGGTACCAAGGATAGAATACATTTTTTATCATCATTAATTTTTAGTCTCTGGTAGACTTCCTTAATCCCCCCCCCCCCAAAAGAAAGGCCTCTAGTGGAGAGAGAGCAG